GACCCTCTGTCATTTTAACGGTCCTCTAATTAGGCTATCCTTTCTTCTACAGTTTTCCTGTTAGCTACTCCCATTTCACAGCCCTGCAGACTGTTTTTAGCTTTAAGTAAAAACATTATCTCAGGTGTAGAAACATTAATTCAGGCAAACATTAAGTCACAAGTGGATATAACAGTTAGTGAAGTGTTGGGTGCACTATCAAGACACTCAGGATGGCTAGATTTTATGAATCTGAAAGAGGCACACATTTATTTCTAATAGAGTGAAACCAGAAGCTAGCCACTTAGGTCAGGGCCACAGAAAACCAAGGAGGGTAAGAGACCAAAAGGACAGACTCTCAGAGTGGGAAGGAGCCAGCCCCCTCCCTACCCCTACCCCCCTCTTCCACCTCTAGAAGCCACACCTGGGTTGGCTTTAGGCGACACTCTCAAAAACCAGACAAAGCTGCTTTGGTCCACAGTAAGCAACCCCTTGTGGGGGACTCCAAGACAGGCTGTGTTACAGAAGTCCATGAATTAATGAATTTTCAGGAATGCAAGTAGGGTAGAATGGAACCGTGCTTAAAGTCCACTTATACGCCAAATAGATGGAAGATGTTCTGGCACACAGTTTTCACAGGAACAGAGCATAGGTGACAACCCCTCTGTTAGCCTCATGCCCTCCAAGTTACTCTCCAGTTCAGGAAGTTTACTGGAGAATTTCCCATACCAGTAAAATAATATATCCAAAAGGGAATTACTTTATTCTTGAGGTCACAGACAATTCTAGGGAATATCTGGATTAATCTGTGTACCTACAGGTTTTCACACAGACAATTCTCTTTACAGGCCCAACTCTAAATAGACAATACCCCTAGAGGCAAAGATAAATCCCCCATTGTCCATGACAGTCAAAGCTAGACCAGACTAACTCTGAGAAAACACTCTGGAGAACAAGTTTCACAGGCCTTCATCATCCAAAAGGTTCTTCTTGCCACTAGCATCCATTTTACACACCTCTAGTGCGGCAGAGTGCCCTGGGTCTAACTTACCATGGAATCATTGAAGAGGTAACTAACAGAGCTGCTCACAGCACACACAAAGGCACTTACTGCCTTCACATGCACTTCAGGGACATCTAACTGTGGTTTCATAGATTGTTATGGGCTGGAAGGGACCTTGCAGATCATTGGGTCCAGCCCCCCCACTCTAGGCAGGAAGGTAACTGGGGTCAAGTGAGGTGACTGTCCAGTCTCATCTTGAAAACGTCTAGGGTAGGTGACTGCACCACCTCTGGGGGGAGTTTATCCTACTGTCTGGACACCCTGACTGTGAAGGAATTTTCCTGGTATTAAGCCTGAAGTGGCCTTCCAGGAGTCCGTATCCATTGGTGCTGGTCTTCCCTGGGGATGCCCTAGTGAACAGTTAGTTGTTCACTGAGCTCCTGATGCACTCCTCTGATACAGCGGTAAGCCACTATCAAGTCCCCTCTCAGCCTTTCCTCGTATGGCTTGCCTTGTTAAGTCCCTGATCATATGGGTGGCCCTCTTCTGGACCCTCTCAAGTTTTCACATGTCCTTATTGAAGTGTGGCGCCCAGAACTGGACGCAGTACTCCGACTGTGGTCTCACCAGTGCTGAGTACAGCAGGAGTATCACTTCCTTAGTTTTATACAAGATGCATTGGTTGATGCATGCCAGCATGTTGTTTGCAATGCAGTGGCCAGCAGGGCACTGATGGCTCGTGTTCATGCAGTGGTCAGTCATTACCCCTAGGTCCCTTTCAGCTGTGGTGCACGTCAGGCTGTCACCTCTGAATTTATATGTAAGTTGAGGGTTATCTGCCCCCAGATGGAGCACCTTACACTTGGAAGTGTTAAAACTTCATCTGGTTCTGGTCTGCCCAACTCTCGAGCCTATCCAGATCTGCCTGTATCAGTAATCTATCTTTGTGTGTGGCCACACTGCCCCATAACTTGGTGTCATCTGCAAGCTTGGCCACCGAGCTTTTCACTCCCCCATCCAAATCTTTGATAAAGATGTTGAAAAGCAGCAGTGCAAGCATAGACCCCTGAGGTACACCACTGGCCACTTTGTGCCAGGATGACATAGATCCATTCATCAGAACTCTCTGGGTCCTACCCTGTAGCCAGTTTTCCACTCACTGAACCGTCGAACAGCTGAGCCCACAATCTTCCAGTTTTCCCACAAGGACATCATGGGATACTAGAACAAAAGCCTTTTGGAAGTCTAGGTATAACTTCTACCTTGTTTCCCTTGTCCAGGTGGCAAGAGACCCGGTCGCAGATGGAGATGAGATTGGTAAGACAAGACCTACCTGTGACAAAAGCATGCTGGCTGTCATTTAGAATCTTACCTTCTGCAAGTGGATCACACACAGACGCTTTAATGAGCATTTCCAGGATTTTCCCTGGGATAGAGGTTAGGCTGACTGGCTTATAGTTGCCCGAATCCTCCCTCTTCCCCTTTTTCAAGATGGGCACAACTCTGGCCCCCTTCCAATCCTCAGGCATCTCCCCTGTATGCCACGAATTCTGAAAGAGCTTTGCCAGGGGCTCCGCAATGACCTCAGCCAGCTCTTTCAGCACTCTCAGATGGAGTCCATCTGGTCCCGCTGACTTATAAATGTCTAGCTTTTCTAGTTGGTATTGCACCCGCTCAGCATCCACAGTGGGGAGGCTGTAGGTCTTGGCATTCCCCCTATGAGCCTTATCTCGCTTGACATTCCCCATGGTCCAGCGAAATACCAAAGCAAAGCAGGCATTCAGGAATTCGTTTTTTTCCTGAATGTTGGTTATCAGCTGTCCCAAGGTGTTAAACAGCAGTCCCACACTTCCATTTGTTTTTCCTTCTACTGCCTACATACCTAAAGAAGGACTTCTTATTGTCCTTGACTCCCACGGCTAACCTAAACTCAGTCGCCACCTTGGCTTTCCTGATCATTTGCTGGCCACCAAAGTACAGTCCTCCTTGAGGACCGTCCCTAGCTTCTACTGTGCATAAACCTCTTTTTTCTTTTTTAAGAGGACCACAATGTCCCTATTAAGCCAGGAGGGCTTCCCATCTCTCCTGCTACCTTCCTCTTTGCAGGAATGGCATTCTTTTGTACTCCGAGAATCGTGTCCTTGAGCAACAACTACTCTTCGTGCACCCCATTTGCCTTCCCTTCCTTGGTCCCTCATCACCTCCCCTACTAATGCTCTGACCCTGTCGAAGCCAGCATTCTTGAAGTCCAGGACTTCAATCCTGCTGGTTGATTTGTCAACCTTGCAGCGGACAGTGAACCTGATAATTTCATGGTCACTGTTGCCCAGGTTACCCTCAATGTTCAAGCCACACACCAGATCATCTCCCTCGGCCAAGACCAGGTCCAGGAGAACGTTGCCTCTAGTTGGCCCTTACACTTCCTGGATCAGACAGAGCTCCTCGATCACAGTCAGGAAACTGTGTGAATAATGTGACCTAGCCAAGTGTTCCTCCCAATCTACATCCGGGTAACTGAAGTCACCCATGACAACCAAGTCCCTTGTGCATGTCAGCTCCAGATCCAGCTCCTCCCGTTGCTTCAGTGGCCTGGAGTAAATGCCTACAGTTCGGTTTCTCTCACCTTGCCTCCTCCCCCTCCCCCTCCCCCTGTAAGTTGACCCACAGGGTTTCAAGCTGCTTGTCTTCGAAGCCAATGTCAGCCTCCAGAGAGGTGTACTGCTCTCTCACGTACAGAGCTACCCCTCCACCTTTTCTCCCTACTCTGCCCCTTCTGTGCAAGGTGTAGCCCTCTATGGCTACGCACCAGTCATGCAAGGAGTCCCACCAGGTCTCCATGATCCCTACCAGATCATATTGTGCACCAGAGAACAGGAGGGCTAGCTCCTCCTGCTTATTCCCCATGCTCCTAGCATTGGACTAAAGGCAGCCGAGGCCCTCAATTGACACCCTCACTTTCCTGAGATGCTGTGGGAGAACTGTTTGGTTAGCACTCTCAGAAACAGTTGTGCTACTGTCCTCCACAAGGGAGCTTTCCTGTGTGCCAGTCCCCAGGCATGCTCCACTTGGAGTTTTCCCATCCCCCAGCAAAGTCAGTTTAAAGCTCTGTCCAGTAGATCAGCCATCCTGGTTGGTGGTTCATTAGAGCCAGGAAACAGGGATTTATTTTAAGGATACAGTGGCCACACTTGGATAAGAGAAAAATGCAACTGCCTCAGCATATCTCAGAGGCACAGGTTTGCCTGTAATCTAAAAGGGAGTTGAGTCCCCATCAGCACCCCTCAGCCAGAGGGGAGGAGCCCTCCAGAGAGCATATGCCAAAAGAGAGAACAAGCAGCAGTGGTAGGGGAGTCCTCACACAGGAAACAGAAGCAGGCAGAGAAAGCCAGGCACCCATATGGGTCTGACAGTGTAAGGCTAGCTGCAGTGCATGTGCCAAGCCAGTGAATCCTTGTCCTTAGGAGCTCCCAGCAATGGCTTTCTCCATCGTTGTCACTTGGAATAAAATTTACAAGATTCCTCCATAAGTGTTACTATGGAAACTGCTGTGGCACACTAGTAACCAAGGTAACTGCAGTGCAGAGCTGACACCGGGCAGCTGTTACTGTTCAGAGTATGATGGGTGAGGCTACTAGTGTTCCCTATTCGAGTCTGGAGCAACTGATATCTCTGCAAATACTAGAGCAGGCTGAGCTGGCATTATTCCCAACGGGAGAGATGGCACCTGCCCTCCCACACTCCCTACCACCACAGCTAACATCCCACACCCCTGTGCCCCCTGAAGCAGGATCCACCTTCACCCCCACCTCTGCTTATCCTTCAAGCCTGAAGTTGGAAAGACCCAAGTGAAATATTTCCCAGACTGTCCCAGCCTTAGTGTCAGGCTCCAGATTTAATCAGCCACTTTACAGAAACAGAAGGGGAGGGGAAGGGGGTGGAGGGACTGAGCCTGAAGCTCCCCTACCCCCCTCCCAACAAGGCGCTCTTCCCTGGAGCCCCTGCTCCAGACATGCCTTACCAACAGCCACAGGAATGGGCCCCAGCAGTGCCTGCTTGTATTTGTTCAAGCTCTCATCATCCTGGTCCAGCTGCTGGATCTCTTGGAGGCTCCTCTTCTCTGGGGTCTTGTAAGCCAAGTCAACATCATCCACATCCTCCTCCAGGGACAGAGTCACCCCATCTTTGTCTGCCACAATGTCTGCAGGGAGAGAAGGTCAGTTAGAACAAGGAGGCACCCACAGATATAGAGTATCCCCAGACTGGGCATGTAGACAGCTAAGAGAGGCAGCCCCAGATAGGTGGGGGAGGGGGAAATCAGGAAAGGGGCAGGGAGTGCAGGGTGTCTTTCCTACCCACTATAGGTCACTGGCAGCTTGCTGGGAGGCAGCCTGGGAGCAAGCATTGTGTGACAGGGAGAAAAGTAGTCCCAGGAGTCTCCAGGCTGTGAGGGAGCTGCCTCCAGGAGCCTAGGGGCTAGAAATTTTTCCCTGCTCATGTGCTCTTTCTGCTCCTGGCCTGCACTACAGAAATAAATAGTCACTCTGAGTACAACATGGAGGGCAAGGAGCTCTTCCTTCCATGCAGCATAAGTAGAAGGGCCTGCCTCACCCATCCCCAGGACCTGGAACTCTCCTGAATTCCTGCTCCAGTTGCCTGAATGTCTGGGTACCACAGCTGCAGCTGGACATTTCACAATCCACAGTAGGAAGGTACCATCCTTGCCCATCTACAGTGAAGCACCTCCTGGCTGCACTCAAGCTAGCATCCAAGCCAAGTCCCTACTAGCAGCTCTTAGAGCTGCACTGGTTATTTCATCTTTTGCTTCCAATTGTGAATGTGGCTCTGATGAATTCCTCAGCATCCTGTGTAATTATCCTAACACAAAGCAAGGGGGGGGGGGGAAAAACAGGCAGCAGGAACCTCTTGAACCTGCAGCCCTGGGCAGACCCCTCCCAGCATACCCCAATAAGCAGCTGCCAGAGTCCCAAGACCAAGATAGGGAACATGCACCTGCTAGGGCAGAGCAGAGAGACCTGAAGGGCAGAGACTAGACATAGGCTGGGATGTGCACCCATGATGAAGGGTCCGGCAGCCCACATGGAGTACTCCTCTTCACTAGCTGCTGGCCCCAGGAACGGCCCTCTTAATTGGGACATGGGCCCAGGCAAAGCTAGAGGGAAGGTCAGATGAAGCCAGCTCCATGGATGGGTCATAAGTTGCCTTCGATTGTGGTCTTATCACTGCAGAGGGAGGGAACTCAATGCTATTTCCACCTCCACAACTCTGGGGAAAAAGAACCAGTGTAAGTCGGAGGCTATGCACAAGACCCATCTCCTAGGTCTTTGAGTCTCATATTAGAAGTGCCACAGCCCCCCAGAATGACAGCATGAGCCATATGTACCATGCCTCAGTACTGGAGACAGTTTGCTCAGTTACAGGTACAGTCTTTTTGTTGCTGGTCCTGCTGACCCCACTCCCAGCTCACTAACAGTAGGCTCTTGCCACCAGTAGCCCCACCCACAAGAAAGTTTACAGGACAAGTAATGCCTCACCAACACCTGTGCAGCCCTAGCACTTTGATGTCACCAGGGTGATAGCACAGGCCACAGCAGCAGGGAGCTCATGGCCAAGGCTCAGGAGCCAGGTTGAGCTGAGCTGTGGCTGCAGCTCAGGTAGACACACCTGAGCTTGCATGCAATACGGGGACCCATTTCTATCTAATCAGAGCAATATGGAGCTAAGCATGGAGCTCTGGCCCAAGAGTTTATTGACCACCTCATGTGGTGTTGGCAACCTACACTAAGCTCCCTGCTGCCATAATAATACAGCTATGATACAGCTAGCCAGAAATTAGCTGAGATGCATCTGTGAGGTGCAGTCACACGAGGACAGACAGTGTAGACACATCAACAGGAGTCCCTCTCCCCAGCCTAGCAGAGGGTATATGCATCTCTCAGGGCTATGCGTCTTTCAGTGGGCCCCAAGCATTGACCTGCCTTGCTGAAAAGTGAATGTCTGCCATACCAGTGGATCCCTCACAAGCTTGTACATAAATCGGAGAATCACAGAAAAATAGGGCTGGAATCAAAAGCAAAAAGGACCTCACCCATCTGTTCACGACAGAATCACCACTAGCTGAATACCACACTTTTCTTTGGATTGGAAACTCAGAGGGAAGCAGCTGGGAACTGGCTCTGAGCTGGAGCTGAGTCTGGCACTAGGCTCTACAGGAGCCAGAAACACAAAGCCAGAGGCGCCAAGATGCCAAGTGAAGCAACCAGGTTCCAATCGAAGTGGCTGTTGGTTCCAGGGCTGGCAGCAGGCTCCAGGCAGAGGTCACCAAGGCGGCTCTGGAACCAGCAGAGATGTACCTCACTGTCAGAGCCTGGCCCCAGATCAGAGGCCGTGGAAGGTGGTTGGGAAGTTGTCAAGAAACAGACACACAACCTGGCCTGAGTACAATGGGAGGAAACACGCACGAGACTGGCATGAAAGAAGCCAGTGATGGTGGCTGGTGTTAGTTCAAAGATGGGGAAGGAATGGGATGGGTGCCAGGACCATGCAGGGGTCTGGTTCTAAGAGAATCCAACCCAAGTCACATAGTTTGGCTGGGGAAGGGGGAAAAAAAATATCAACCTGTGATTTGGCAGTTAGAGAGACACAGTCACTTGAATATATACATAAGTAGATGAATAGCACTAACAAATTTCAAGCAATTCCAGTTTCCTCAAGAACCTCTTTAAGAACTGTTTGAAGAGTTGGCAAATTGCTTCTGAAAACACCAGGAGTGTTTCTGATTCCAAACTAAATGACTCAGAACTTCTGGCCCAGGACAGCCTGCCCTCCCCAGCCCGACCAGCTCCATGGGATCATACACATCTTGCACCTGCTTTGCCAAGCTAAGCCAAAAGTTGCAAGTCTCTTACTTCCAAATGCCTAAAATGTAACTGTGCATACAAAACTTTGAGGCCAAGTTCTGATTTCCAGATGGTTGGCATTCCCTTCTACATCCTCAGAAGGCTCTGTCCTCGCTAGCATATCTGAGCCAACTCAAAGCAGAGGTTGCATCTCAGCAGGATGTTCATTCTGAAGCCTAGTAATCATATTGCATTTATCATCACTATTCTTTCACGGATCATTTGAGCAGAAGAATTTAGGTGCATACAACGATAGGTCTTGGGGATGGATGGCAGCAGCATACAGCAGCAAGGAACTACAACATGCAAAGGGGGAGTTAAATGATTGCAGTGCAAACCCCACTGCAGAGCACAGCTTCAAAACCAAAACATTCAAAAGTCATGGCCTGAGCCCCCTCCCCTTCATTCTCCCCCCCCCCCCCCCCCCCC